TCCTTTTTTACCTGTCTCCTTGTTTATTGTTCCTTTTTACTTGTCTCCTTGTTTCCCCCTTCCTCCTTTTTTTTACTCTGTCTCCTTGTTTACCCTTCCCCCTGTTTACTCTGTCTCCTTGTTTACTCTGTCCCCTTTTTTTACTCTTTCCCCTTGTTTACTCTGTTCCTTTTTACCCCCGTCTCCTTTTTACCTGTCTCCTTTTTTACCTTTCCTCCTTTTTTCTTTTGTCTCCTTGTTTACTCTTCCCCCTTTTTTACTCGTCTCCTTTTTTACCTTTCCTCCTTTTTTTACCTGTCCCCTTGTTTACTCGTCTCCTTGTTTTTCGTTCCTTGTTTACTCTGTCTCCTTGTTTACTCTGTCTCCTTGTTTACCCTTCCCCTTGTTTCTCTTCTCCTTTTTTTATCTGTTCCTTGTTTCTCTGCCCCTTGTTTCCCCTTTCCCTCCTTTTTTACCTGTCTCCTTGTTTCCCCTTTCCCCCTTTTTTACTCTGCTCCTTTTTTACTCTGTCTCCTTTTTTACTCTGCTCCTTGTTTACTTGTCTCCTTTTTTACTCTTTCCTTGTTTACTCTGTCTCCTTGTTTACCTGCCCCTTGTTTACCTTTCCTCCTTGTTTACCCGGGTCTCCTTGTTTTTGCCCCTTTTGTTTACCTTTCCTCCTTGTTTACCTTTTCCCCTTGTTTACTCTTTTCCCCCTTTTTTCCTGTCCCCTTTGTTTACCCTGTCCCCTTTGTTTCCTTTCCTCCTTGTTTTTTGTCTCCTTTGTTTATTTGTTCCTTGTTTACTCTGTCTCCTTTTTTACCTTTCCTCCTTGTTTACTCTTTTCCCCTTTGTTTGCTCTTTCCCCTTGTTCCCTTTTCCCCTCCTTGTTTACTTGTTTCCTTTTTTACTCGTCTTCTTGTTTACCTTTCCTCCTTGTTTTATCTTCTCCTTGTTTCTCTTCTCCTTGTTTACCTTTCCTCCTTTTTTTACTTTTCTCCTTTTTTTTTCCCTTTTCCCCTCCTTGTTTACTTTCCCCTTGTTTACCTTTCCTCCTTTTTACTCTGTCTCCTTTTTTTACTTGTCCCCTTTTTACTCTGTCTCCTTTTTTACTCTGTCTCCTTTTTTACCTTTCCCCCTTGTTTACTCTGTCCCCTTGTTTACTCTTCTCCTTTTTTACTCTGTCTCCTTGTTTACTTTTCCCCTTTGTTTACTCTGTCCCCTTGTTTACTCTGTCCCCTTGTTTACTCTGTCTCTTTTTTACCCTTCCCCTTTTTACTCGTCCCCTTTTTTAAACCTGTCTCCTTGTTTACTCTGTCTCCTTTTTTACCCTTCCCCCCTGTTTACTCTGTCTCCTTGTTTACTGTCTCTTGTTTACTCTGCCTCCTTGTTTACTTTGCTCCTTGTTTACCCTTCCCCTTGTTTAATCTGTCTCCTTGTTTACCATTCCTCCTTTTTTACTCTGTCTCCTTGTTTACTCTGTCTCCTTGTTTATTCTGTTCCTTTTTTTTTCTGTCTCCTTGTTTACCCTTCCTCCTTGTTTTACTCTGTTCCTTGTTTACCCTTCCTCGTTTACTCTGTCTCCTTGTTTACTCTGTCTCCTTGTTTACTCTGTCTCCTTGTTTACCCTTCCACCTTGTTTATTCTGTCTCCTTGTTTACTCTGTCTCCTTGTTTACCCTTCCTCCTTGTTTACTCTGTCTCCTTGTTTACCCTTCCTCCTTGTTTACTCTGTCTCCTTGTTTACTGTCTCCTTGTTTACTCTGTCTCCTTGTTTATTCTGTCTCCTTGTTTATTCTGTCTCCTTGTTTACTCTGTCTCCTTGTTTACTCTATCTTGTTAACTCTGTCTTCCTGCTACAGTGTGTGAAACGTCGGAGGCTCCACCAACAGCCTGCTACAACACACTTTGCTTTATTGCATGAGTATATTGTACGCCCTGATTATAAGAACATAAGAACATAAGGAACACTGCAACAGGTCTACTGACCCATGCGAAGCAAGCCCATGCCACCCCCGGCTTAGAACAATGACCACCTAGTCAGGTTACTTCCGCTTAAGCAAGGAGCACGGCACCAGACCTAGCAGAACAAGCTAGTCAGGTCCAACTCACACCCACTCACACCCACTCATGTATTTATCCAACCTACTTTTAAAACTTCACAAGGTTTCAGTAATATTTCTGAGTGACGCATCTGGTCCTTTCTAGCAGTGATGTTAAGGGGAATGTTTTGTGTGTGTGTGTGTGTGTGTGTGTGTGTGTGTGTGTGTGTGTGTGTGTGTGTGTGTGTGTGTGTGTGTGTGTGTGTGTGTGTGTGTGTGTGTGTGTGTGTGTGTGAGAAGAGAGAGAGAGAGAGAGAGAGAGAGAGAACATTTACCTTGTTGAGCGTGTCTACCTCGCTGGGGGCGCAGTAAGGGAAGTTAACGTTGTCCAGGTACCTCTGAGCCCCCTGGATGTTCTGGCTGGCAGCTACCAGGTTGTTCCTCGTTTCCGCTGCAACGCTGTATCTGATCTCCAGGTCTCTGTTGGAACACACACACACATGGAGGATCAGACGTGTCACAGGGGGGGTCACACAACAGGGTTACAGACACGGATGTCACACAACTGGGTGCAGACACGGACGTCACGCAACAGGGTACAGACACGTCACAAGGACGTAATGAGGCACGTCTCGAAGAGGATGGGTTGCTTTCGTCAGAGACTGCGTCAATAGTTTCCAATTTAATTTCTCTTAGTTTTTACATCTTGCTAAAAATTTAAGCTCACTCAGAAATATTGCTGTTTGTGAGACAACACACACGCACACACACACACACACACACACACACACACACACACACACACACACACACACACACACACACACACACACACACACACACACACACACACACCTCTTCCTATACCTCCTCCCCGTCACCTCTTCATTCTCACTCTCTCCTCTCTCCTTTTATCTCTATCTCTTTCTCTCTCTCCCTCTCTCCCTTTCCACTATCCCTCCTTCCTCCTGCTTCTCCTTTTCCTATACCTCCTCCATCTCCCATCCCCCTCACGTCCCCTTCCTTCTCCTCCTCCCTCTCCCCCCGCCTCCTACGCATGCAAGCACACTACAGGCTGACCCTACCCAACTCACACGCTCCACACACTCTAACACTCCCTTCCTCTCTCTCTCTAACTCATTCACACTCTCTATCTCTCTTTCTTTATCCCACTTTCTCTCCCTCTTCATCTTCCTTCTCATCTCTTACTCCTGCTTCCTTAGCCCACATTGCTCTTCCCCTGTCCCCCTTAGTCTTCCCCCATCTCTCTTCCCTCTGCTGCTGTCCTCCCTCCAGCTCACTATCCTTTTCCCCCCTCCCTGCCTCCTCCCCCCTTTCCCCACAATAAACACCCCCTCCCCCCACAACAAACACCCCCTCAACACAGCACTCTTGGCATAAGCTCTTCCTTCAGTGGAAAAGAAACATGGGATACCAAAAAACCAGACGGAGAACCAGAGGAATGGTGGATGAAGCGACGGGTGGACCTGGGAGAGAAGACTGGGAGGCAGAGCTCACGCGAAGAGAGAAGTGGGGGAGGAGGCTGGAAGAGCTCGACAAGAAAATGGAAGAGAAAATAGCTGAGGAGAGCAGGAAATGGGAATTACAAATCACAGCAGCTGAAGCTAAGATACAGGGCTTAGTAGAAGAACTAAAAAGTCTGAAACAGCCTAAAGAACCAGAGTGTCGACAGTACAGCCATGACACCAAGAACTATGAGGGAACAAAGGAGATATACTGTATGCGATGACTCTATCGGACCGAAGGGGAGCCCGGGAAAAGGCAGGGAGAACAGCAGGAACTAATGAGGGGACTAAAGACAATGAAGGAGCTAAGCTATACACAGAGGCTCTAACAGACAACTGCCATGCTCAGGAACAGATAAGCAAAGGGGCACCGGATAGAGAAGAGACAGTAGGAAGCAATGCGTCAATGGCAGGAACCAATTCGTATCAGAGGATGCTCAGGGAAGCACAGTGGGAGGATGAAAGGGAGAGGGCCGTTTTTGACTATAGGCTCCAAGAAGTAGATGGAGAAACTTATGAGGCAAGGAAACAGGAGAAAAAAACGATTGAAAGCATCAGGAAAGCAATAGGAGAGGACGACATGACCCAGCTGACAAATTTTAGGAGAATTGAGTGGTTTGTGAGAGGAAAAAAGCGTCCAGTCAAAGTGATTTTCAAGGCAGAGTCAGCTTGAAACCGGATCCTGCAGGAGAAAGCGTTTGTTCCCAAGGGTAACAGAAATAATGGGAAGGACAGAACGAGCCCTTGGTTTACCTGAAGGTGTAGGGAGGCAAAAACTAAGCGCTCTAGAGAATGGAAAAAGTACAGAAGGCAAAGGACTTAGGAAAATAAAGAGATTAGTCGACGAGCCAGAAACGAGTATGCACAGATAAGGAGGGAGGTGCAGCGGCAGTATGAAAATGACATAGCATCGAAAGTCAAGTATGACCCGAAACTACTCTACAGCCACATCAGGAGGAAGACAACAGTCACAGACCAGGTAATCAGGCTAAGGAAAGAAGGTGGGGAGCTCAAAAGAAACGACCAAGAAGTATGTGAGGAGCTTAACATGAGATTTCAGGAAGTCTTTACAGTGGAGGTTGAAGGGACACTGAGAAGACAAAACAGTGGGGTACAGCAACAAGAGATATACCAACAAGCTCAGATGTGCAAGTCCCTCTCAAATCCAACCCCTCCCACTCATGTACTTATCCAACCTAAATTTGAAACTACCCAAAGTCCTAGCCTCAATAACCCAACTAGGTAGACTGTTCCACTCATCAACTACCCTATTTCCAAACCAATACTTTCCTATGTCCTTTCTAAATCTAAACTTATCTAATTTAAATCCATTACTGCGGGTTCTCTCTTGGAGAGATATCCTCAAGACCTTGTTAATATCCCCTTTATTAATACCTATCTTCCACTTATACACTTCGATCAGGTCTTCCCTCATTCTTCGTCTAACAAGTGAATGTAACTTAAGAGTCTTCAATCTTTCTTCATAAGGAAGATTTCTAATGCTATGTATTAATTTAGTCATCCTATGCTGAATGTTTTCTAACGAATTTATGTCCATTCTGTAATATGGAGACCAGAATTGAGCTGCATAATCTAGGTGAGGCCTTACTAATGATGTATAAAGCTGCAGTATGACCTCTGGACTTCTGTTGCTTACACTTCTTGATATAAATCCCAGTAATCTATTTGCCTTATTACGTACGCTTAGGCATTGCTGTCTTGGTTTAAGGTTGCTGTTAACCATAACCCCCAAGTCCTTTTCGCAATCTGTATGGCTAAGTTCTACATTATTTAACTTATAAGTGCTAGGGTTATGGACACTCCCGAGCTTCAGAACCTTGCATTTATCTACATTGTACTGCATCTGCCACTTTTCTGACCAAGAGTAGAGTTTGTCTAAATCCTCCTGAAGATCCCTAACATCTACGTTTGAATCAATTATCCTACCTATCTTCGTGTCATCGGCGAATTTGCTCATATCACTTGTAATTCCTTCATCAAGATCATTGATATATATTATAAACAACAACGGGCCCAAGACTGATCCCCACTCGGATTTAACCCCATTTATGGACACTCTCTGCTTTCTGTCTGTGAGCCATGATTCGATCCACGAGAGCACCCTTCCCCCAATGCCATGAGCTGCTACTTTCTTCAACAGTCTTTGGTGCGGAACTCTATCAAATGCCTTACTAAAATTAAGTAAACACATACACACAACACACACACGCTGCACACCCGACACACACACACAAATACACACATACACACACACATACACACACACATGCACACACACACACACATCACACACAACACACCATACCCACACACCACACATACACACATACACACACATACACACACACTACACACACACATACTCGACACATGCCACACAACACACACACACACACACACCACACACACACACACACACACCATACACACACCCAACACACACACACACACACATGCACACACACACACACACACACACACACACACACACACACACACACACACACACACACACACACACACATACACCCACACAACACACACAAACACACACACATGCACACACACACACACACACACACACACACACACACACACACACACACATCACACACACACACATACACACACACACATCCCGTCATCGTGCGTGCCACAGCAGAATTACAACTGTGAACGTAATATTAACACTAGCGAGGAAGCTAGTGGCTCAGAATATAAAAAACCGCAACATGAGACACCATTTACACAGATCAGATTGTCAGAGGTAATTAGGTCGAGCATCAGTTACACACTACTGCCATCTTTTCGGTAGTCCTCTGCTTACGAAATGGTTTTTTTATCTGTAGTAGTAAGCTCCATGCTGAAATTATTATTTATTATTATTATTAATATTATTATTATTATTATTATTATTATTATTATTATTATTATTATATATTATTATATATTATTAGTATTATTATTATATTCCACTGTCAACTCAATAGCTGTGGTCTTTCAGTCTCATCCTACTGTGGGTCCTTCGAGTCACTCTCATCATCTAACTGTGGGTTCTATAGAGTCACCTCTCATCTCTACCTGTGGGTCCTTAGAGTCACCTCTCATCTCACTGTGGGTCCTTAGGTCACCTCGTCATCTCTACTGGGGTCCTTAGAGTCACCTCTCATCTCTACTGTGGGTCCTTAGAGTCACCTCTCATCTCTACTGTGGGTCCTTAGAGTCACCTCTCATCTCTACTGTGGGTCCTTAGAGTCACCTCTCATCTCTGCTGTGGGTCATTAGAGTCACCTCTCATCCTACTGTGGGTCCTTAGAGTCACCACCCCCCCCCCCCCCCCCCGCCCCCCCCACCCCCCCCCCCCCCCCTCCCCCCCCCCCCCCCCGCCCCCCCCCCCCCCCCCCCCCACCCCTCTCATCTCTACTGTGGGTCCTTAGAGTCCACCTCTCATCTCTAACTGTGGTCCTTAGAGTCACCTCTCATCTCTAACTGTGGGTCTTAGAGTCACCTGTCATCTCTACTGTGGGTACCTTTAGAGTTCACCACTCATCTCTACAGTGGGTCCGTAGAGTCACCTCTCATCTCTATTCTGTGGGTCCTTAGATGTCACCTCTCATCTCTACTGTGGGTCCTTAAGTCACCTCTCAATCTCTACTGTGGGTCCTTAGAGTCATACCTCTCATCTCTACTGTGGTTCCTTAGATTCACCTCTGCATCTCTACGGTGGGACCATAGAGTCACCTCTCATCTCTACAGTGGTCCTTAGAGTCACCTCACATCACAACTGGGTCCTTAGAGTTAAAAACACCTCTCATCTCTACCGTGGGTCCTTAGCGTCACATCTCATCTCTACTGTGGGTCTCGTAGAGTCACTCTCATCTCTACTGTGGGTGCTTAGAGTCACCTCTCATCTCTACTGTGGGTCCTAAATCA